ATTTTGTTAGTTGTAAATTATGGATGTTTAAATGACTAATATGGCTACGATAGTATAATTGGTAGGATTATAGAAATGATTGCATCTCAAGATAAAAAGTAAGGAACTAGTTAGGAATATGAAAGTCAAGACTAAAAGAGAACATAATGGTTAAATTAACGGGACATTTAAATGAAATTAGTAATAGGTTTAATCGAACTTAAAGTTAAAGAGGAAATACTTATACTTAAATTACTTACAAGTGGACCTAGTATCTCATACTCAATAACGACCTTATGTATGGATAAATGCCCACTTTTACTAATGGACTAGGAATGATAAGGGAGGAGGCTTTTTTGTTTACATTCATTGCACATCGAATGTAGGTCAATTCTAGTAATACCCTCGACCTATCTAAGTCCTAAGTCGCGGGTGTTATATTTCTTTTTTCATGATTTAATATGAAGGACAACCTATAAGAACCTAGGGTTAGTACCGACATCATTTGAAAATGATTCATGTCTTAATCGAGTCAATCCTAATAGATAGGATCTAGCTTCTTTATGGTTAGGCAAAGCTTGTCTAGCCCTAAAAATTTTTCAAGTTTCTCAACTATTTAAATTACCAATAGGATAATTTAGTCTTTAACTTTATGCACAAGGAGGTAGGAGAAGGTTATTTCACCATTTCCTATGCATATGGTGAGTTACGATTCAAATGAGAGTTCGAAAGAATATTAGTAGACTTTCATTATACTTACCTTTAGATCTCTCTATCTACATCGTATCATAAATTTAGCTAAAGTCCAAAGCTTTTGCGAGTCTCCTTCGTGGTGCGTGCAATAGTTCAAAGGAAAGCATACAACCTAGTTCAAAGTAAAATAAATTACTAGAATTAAATTGCAAAAATTAAAATTAAAACATACACGACAAATAAAATAACTCAAAAAATAATCGTTAAAAAATAAATACAAGAGATAAATTAAATAGACTAAACTTATTGTCTAACTCTCATCCTTAGTGGAGTGACCATTACGTCGTTACATGATGTCGGACGGAAGTCTTGAAAAAAATTCTAAGTTTAGAATTTCAAAGATTCACTTTTCATTTGTTGGTTATTCTAGGGATACGAATTATTCTTTAATTTGGAGTTGCTACTTAGTATTAAAGAACTAGGAACCTAAAAATAACACTCGGTGTAGAGATTTTTGAGTAAGGAGTTGGTTATGCTTTGGGAAGATATTGATCACCCAAAGACGTCTTTTCCTAGGAAAGGTGCCACATCTAGTTTAGTCTTAAATTTGTTTCTTAAAATATTTTATTTTTGCTAATTTATTTTCAATTTAAACTCCAATTTTTCCAACCAAATTAATTTTTTAGTTTTGGACGTGGCATCGTATCGAAAAGATAATCGATCTCTTGCATTGAACGACACGTCGGTTCAAACATCGGATGCATTTTAAGCCTCGACACAATTGGTGTGTCGAAGAACATCTTGATTGTTTGAATGTTGATGAGATATTTTATTATTATTATTATCATTATTATTATTATATTTTATTTTTTTGTTAATGGCAGTCCTTATCGGATATGAGATTTCATTTGGACTTTTAATTAATTTTATTGATGGGGAACCATCATCATTCCCTATGAATAAGGAGACTCAACAATTCACCCACTTATTAATTACTAAACTAATTTTGAAACAAAATTCTAAAATTAGTTATTAACTATTAGTCTTCCTTTTTTTTTTTTGTTTATTTTGTTTATTTATTTTTTGATCAATGATAGTCCCTATCAAACAGGAGACTTCATTGAGAATTTTAATTAATTAATTTTTTAATTATTTTTTGTTGATAACAAATCATCATTAGTCCCTAACAATTAGGAGAATCGAATTAATTTATCAAATAACTATCTAACCTAAATACTAAATAAAAATTCTAAAATTAATTAAATAAAAAAATCTAAGGAAAATTAAATCTAAATTAATATGGGAAATAAAAGGCATTGATAAACAAAAAAAATATGCTTGAACTATCTAAAAATAGAAAAATCAAAGCTAAAAACTCGTTAGGCTTCGACGCATTAACCTTTCTAACTATCATTCTTTTCTTTTTTATATTTTTTTCTTTTTTCTAACTCGTACTAATTTCAGCTTTTATTACATTTTGATTTTTACTTTTACCTTTTCTTTTCTTTTTGGTGTGTGTGTGTGTGTGTATTTAGAGAAGGGGGAGGTAGAAGTCTGGACTAAAACCATTTTGTGCCAAATTTTGTTTTTTTGTTTTAAAGAAAATAGAACCGGATTAAATGCTTGGGTTGTTAGCCCAACCCATTCATTTTATTTTTTAAAATGCCTAGACTAAATCCACAAACAAGGCTCAAACACTTTTCATTTTAATTTTCCATCAAACACCCCTCTTGACTCTCTCTCTCTCTCTCTTTCTTGTTCTTCATTTTCTTCACTTTCTCTCTCTATTCATCATCATTTTCCCTAGCATCAACACTTCATTCAAGATAGATGACTTAGTTAACATATCATGTTCATGCTCTTATCTCAATCAAAAAACCAAAATCTAAAGCTTAAACAAATACCTAACAAACATTTAAAATGACGAGATGATAGAATCAAAGCTTAAAAAAAAAAAAATGAAGAATATTGAATTGGTAGGCTTAAATTGATGATTATTGTTCGAAGAGAGGACTCGGGATTGATTTCCGACGAATTAGAGATTCTTAGTTAGTTTGGGACACCGGGATAATGTCCAGAATCCAACAATTGAGGCCAAAAGTCGATTGAGTGTTGAAATAAAACCAAAAAAGTACAAACACACCTAGAAAACCAAGGATAATCGGATGACTACCTAGAATTTCTAAACGAACAAGCCCAAAAAACCAAAATTAAAACTCCAAACCCAAAAATTTAGGTTGGGAATCTTGTGATGATTGAAACCAAACCTAGAAAAAAAAATAATAGAGTACCGAATTCAATAGTTGATGAACTCGTACCTAGGAATGAAGAATAATGAAGAACTTGCCCCCCAAAAAAAAAAAAAATGCAAAACGCTACTCCCAAAATCCAAATTTCTACTTCCATTTTTTAATTTTACTCTCCTTTTCTTGCTCCCCTTCTTCCTAGTCAACACTAGCCTTTTTATAGGCAAGAATTTGCTTAAATTTCTTCTAGAATTAACTAGTCAATCCCGAATTTCTACTACCAAATCTCAAATTTGAGATTTGATTAGCTAACACAAGGAAATTAGATTAGCGAGAAGTGATTCTTAGTTGGTATCAATTCCAACTAAGAATCAAAGTAAATGCATTTAAAAAAAAACATAATCGGAAGATTTGGAAAGATTGTTGAAGGATCTTCAAAGAGATTCTAGGTTGGAGTGGATGATAGGTTGTCCGCTTGATTTTAGTCCTGTCATTCACTCTAAATTTCTAATTTGGTCTCTATGAATTTCAATTGTCCACAATTGTACCTTTTTTCCATGTAATTTTAGTCTTGTAAAGTACGATTTTTATCAATTGAGTCCCCATAGAGAGTAATTCAAGTTCTAAGTTTCTTAATTGATTTAATTGTGTCCCTAAATACTTCAATTACACTTTTTTTTTAATGTGATTATGTCCATTGATGAATTTTTTCTATATATTTTCCTTTTTTGTATTTTTGTTTTTACTTCTTTCTTCTCCTAAAATAAAAACAATTCAAATAAAATGAACTAAAATAAAATAGAATAAATAATAAATAAAAGAAAAATATAACTGAAAATTAAAATTATAAAATGGATGTGATTTTTTTTGGTTATGAAAATAATAAAGAAATCAAAAACAAAAATAATACCAAACAACCCTTAAACTATTTAATGTTAAAGATACGGGAAGCTCAATTATTGGACAAGTTTAGACTAGAACAAAGTTTGGATCGCTCGGTGTTAAAGTCAGGATTGAGTCCGACTAGAGTCCAAACCATCCAAAATTAAGTACTAATAACTTGACCATCCAATGAAAACTAAGTAGATTTTTTTAAAAAGAAAAAGAAAACTAGCCAACTAAATTAGTTTTCATAACTTAAAAACTAAAAACAATAAAAAAATAACAAAAATAATACCAAACAACTCTTAAGCTATTTAATGTTAAAGATAATATTAAAATTTTTAAACTATAAGGATGGAAGAGGAACATTGATGAATCTACATGTTCAAAAGTTGAACTTTATCTTTTTAAATGAAAAGCAAATAACTATATAAAATAGTTTTAAGTTAATAAAAAATGAATATTATATGGTTTACATTTAATTTTATTTGGGTCTTTTCAATTTATACTTATTTTTTATATCAATATGTTTAGTGTTTGTTGATTTTTATATTATTTAATTATTCTTAACCTTACCTATACATGTTGGATGAGATAATTGATATTATGAACTTAAAGAGAAAAAGGTAATTCATCACAACGCTAGAATTAAAATAAAAAATTCTCAAAAATCTTTTTTTAAAAAAAGGAAGATAAATTTCACAAAATTCTAGAAAAATAAAAAATCTTTCAAGCTTTATTCATATCCGTGACATGATATGTAGGATTTAGGGGATCTCAGCCTTTAGATGTAGAAGTTAAAATAGACCGGGCCATTGGCAAGGTTGATTCAAGAATATCAAATAATTTAGCAAGGCCCATTTAACAAGGTAGATCGAAGCCCAAATCTAAAGGCCACAAGTGTCCAACATGTACGCAAAACCGATCAGAGTCGCACGCCAAAAACAAAAACTAATTCCCGCCAACAATTTTCCTGCCCTCTCTCTACAGTTTTCAAATCTCTATTCTCTCTCAGCTCTCAGCATTCAGATTTCAAATTCCATCCAGGTACGCTGTTTTTCTCTATCTCAACCTCACAATTCCAAATTTCTGTCAGATCTCTTTAATTGTTTTAAATATCCTTATTAATTAATTAGCACAAAACCCTAACAAATCATCGATTAATTTGCAGCTGAATTAAACTAACCTCAACTTCTTCTCATGAAATCCGCTAAAAACCGAACAACAAACCGACCAAAAGGACCGTTCCCTGGTCCTAAATTACCAGGTTTTTTTTTTTTTTTTGTTGATTTGGTAATGGTATTTGTAAGTGTAAAATTGATTTTAATTATTAATTAGGAAAAAGTGGAAATTCGGTTTCTCTATCGTCTGGGTTAGCGGACAATGTAAATGAATTACTTAGACCAGAGCAAATGCCAGTGAAGATAAAGCTGCAGCTTTTTCCAATTGATGAACGCACTCGCGTGGGATTGGAAAAGGTGAAAGTCAATTGAATGTTGGAAATGATTAGAGCTATTTCTAAATTACTGCGTATTTAAATGTTGAATTTGATCTGCAGGATGGGTATCATCCGTACTTGGAACTCACTCTAAGTGCTCGGAAAAAGATATCTTCAGTGCTTAAGCATTTAAATGAGAAGTGGGGTGGTTCGGGAATTGCTCGTGGTGAGCTGGTTCTTCACCCGTATAATGTATCTGAAGGTTTAGCTAATAAGAAGTGGATGTTGAATGACGTGAATATCAGTGCAGGAGAGGTCTACACAGCTATTGGGAACCCTTCTGTTTTCCGTCTAAGGTTTTAGGCCTGATTAATCTTTCGTTGTTGCATTTGGGCATTTAGTAGTTTGGTTTAGTTTTCTGATTTGTATTGTGTCTTAAGCTATGGCTGGTTCTTGAATTCTGGAACTAAATCTGTTGGAGTGCCTTCACTGTCAACTACCCATGATGCCGGCTTACGACCTCAAGTCATGGAGAAAGTTTGCAGTATTGATGCAGAGAGTACTCATGGTGAAGTGGAACAGATAGAGGAAACACGTAAAGAGTTCAAACCAAGCACTTCAACTGGAGCAATGGGTGTGGTTTTGCCTGATAAGAATTCTTCCAATGGATTGATTGGACCTGTGGTACTGTATTTTTTGGGCATCTTCTCTATCCATTGTTGTTACTGTTGTGTAATTTGCTTGATTTGAGTGTTCAGGAATCCTTTCCTGTGGCAATTATGACTTGCGAGCACTTTCAGATTTCAGCCTTTAGGAGCTTAAAAAAAGATATGTGTGTGTGTGTGTGTGTGTGTGTAACTGATAAGTCATCAAAATGATCATAGGATCTTAGTGTTTTAAGATTTGTAGAAATTACTGAGAAAGTTTCAGATGGCCAGAATTATTTGATTAAGGTCAGCATTGCATGTTTGATATTTGACTAACTATTCTATGCTACTATATGGAGGTTTATTGGAATATGCTTTTCAATGTTCCATCTTTCTGAAATTTTCTTATCTATGTCTAACTAGGGTAATGAAACAAAGACGGATGTTGGCACTGGGCAGCCTTCAACACTGTGGGATGATGGTCTAACTAACATAAGCATTGGGAGCCTGCTATCTGAAGCATCATTGCAGGGAATGTTGAATACCTGTGATCCAAAATCGAATGGGAGTAACCCAGGCTTGCAGCCAACTCAGTTAATATCTGATTCATTAGATGCGTTTATTGCTGCGCAAGTAAATCCTTGCCAAGGACCGGGACTTCCTCAATGTTCTAGCTCATCTATTTTGGATGCTGAAGACACATGCCATGCGTTTGCCATTAAAAAATTATCTGCCTTGGGCAAAGATTGTGGAGCTTTGAGTGGAAGTGCATATTCTCAAACCTGTAGTCAAGATGCTGGTTCAAAGTCATCAAAACATCCAACTATGACTGAGGTTTGTTAAGTTCTTCCATACTGTAATTTACACAGAAATATGACTGAGGATACTGGTTGTATAGAGTAGTTTAGTCGCATATTTACACCAGTGTTGATGTTGCTTACCTATTAAATTGATGATATGAATGTTTGATGGTTTCAAGAAATTTGAAGCGCAGCAGAGCTCTGCTAATTGATATTTGATAATTTGATATGATGCATCCTTCGGTTTGGAACAGCAGTTGAGACCAATTTTTTTCTGGATTTCAACAAACCTTCGGTAAGCCCTTGATTTTTATCTCCTCGTTATGCAGGTCAAAAACCAATCTGGCCTTCGACAAGGCCTTGGCTTTGAAGAATCTGAAACAGAGCTATCGCTTGGTTCTCGAGTGTATAATCATGAAAACAGCCTTGGGCTTTCAGGAATCAAATGGGTACTTGATCCGTAATTGAAATATATCATTTTTCTTCCCTGCATATAGCCATACAAAAAGCTAATTTATTTTCTTGATGCAGACTGATTCTTTGGGACCCTTCGACCTGGGCCTGTCGTCGTCTAGAAAGACGTCGCCATCTAGAAAGATTATTAATGGTGACAGTTTATGCATTGGCAGAATTATTACCTAGCTTTTGATTACATTGTCTTAATCGTTAAAGTTGGAACATACTGGGCACAGTGAAATTGAAATAAGCAAGCTAAAGCTTGGTGGTTGGATAAACAGCTGTAGAATATCAATTTCAAAATATTTGTAATATCTTTTATTAGCCATGAAATCTGAAGGTCTATAAAGGTACCTAAATTATTGGTTGTCCCATTTTTTGTTCAAAATAGCTGAGTAGTACAACACAGTTATTAATCTACTATTGCATTCTATCTCTTCTTCAATGTTCTTGGGTTGCATCTTTCAAGTTTAGCTTATGTTGATAACTAGGGAGAAAGACAAAGAGCTATTCTGTTTTCTAGAGAGCTACTTGTTTTCTCCACAGTAGACTCTCTTCAAACAGTGGAAAATAGCTCTATCCAGAGTCCAAATTCTTGGATTTGTTGCCAGACTTAAAGTGGAAAATGCTTGTCCAAGGCAAAAAAAGGCGAAATTATTTTTTATCCTGAACTCTGAATTGCCCCTACATGCACGAGGCTGCCCGTGATTGGACAGACGCCCTTGAATTTCACTAACCCGCCAAAATAAAAGAGAACTAAAACTATTCCTTGGTAACTCAGACCAAGTCATTGATAATGGAGGAGAAAAGTGAACCGTTGTTTCTATAGTCTGACTCCTCCACTCCTTAAGTCGGAGAAAGCAGGGCTAAACAAAGACGCAGAAGATCCAAACAGAATGGTGGACAAAGGACGGCCAATTCGCATTTCTTGATTGATCAAAAATTAATATTGCTCTATGCTACTCACAATCATATGTCACTTCTTTCATTACCATTACTATGTCACCTAGCAACCATCGCAACTTCGATTCCCTGCAAAAAGTTAGGATTCTGGAAAATGGGGTGTGTTCAGACCAAGAATTCAACATACTCGCCACCTCAGACACTAGAGAAGTTGAAACAAGAATATGTGTATGTTAAGGGAGAGAGTGGAGGGAGACCTACGGGTCAGAGAGAACCTGGAAAGTTGTTCAGGCAGGAAGTGGAAAAGAAGAGAGTGGTTGTGCTGAATGGGGCTGCTAGCGTGGGAGAAGGGTTAAAGAATGATATTGGAAATGTGTCGCAAAGAATTTCTTCGAAGAAGGCAGGGGGAGATGAGCTTGTGGATGGTTGGCCAAAATGGCTTGTCGAGAACATTGCTAGAGAGGTTTTGGCTGGTTTGGTTCCAAAGAGTGCTGATTCTTACGATAAGCTAGCTAAGGTTAGTGTTTGATATTTGTTACCTTTTCCTCTACTTGACATGCACACACGAAAACAAGCATTATAAGAACTCCTTTTGGAATTTGTACGCCGATAGAGGCCAGGGTGATTAATGGAGGCAGGGGAGGGGACAAAGTTTTGGAAAAGCTACATGAACTGTCTTTTTATTGGATTAGGTTCTTGAAGCAGATACCATAAATCATCCAATTGGGATTGTGGTTTTTCATTTGCAGGTAGGCCAGGGAACTTATAGCAATGTGTACAAAGCTCGAGATAGGGACACTGGAAAGATAGTTGCTCTAAAGAAGGTTCGGTTTGACACATCAGAGCCTGAAAGTGTCAAGTTTATGGCAAGAGAAATAACGATGCTACAGAAGCTCGATCATCCAAATGTAATCAAGCTTGAAGGACTAGCCACATCAAGGATGCAATATAGTCTTTACCTTGTCTTTGATTGCATGCAGTCAGACCTAACCAGGATCATCTCTCGTCCAGGCGAAAGGCTCACTGAACCGCAGGTTTGAAACCCCACCCCCCTCCTCCTTCTCTGACAAAAAATTTTCTGCAGCTGTTTGTTGGGCCCATAATAACGAAATGAGCATTCATAAATTGTTTTCAGCTCAAAGAGATGTTAACGATTCTGTTTCAAATATTACAGGTCAAATGCTACATGCAGCAACTGCTTTCAGGTCTCCAGCACTGCCATGAGAGGGGTATTTTGCACAGAGACATTAAAGCTTCCAACTTGTTGATAGACAGTAATGGGATGCTGAAAATCGCAGATTTCGGGCTTGCAAATTTCTTCATACCTAAACCAAGACGACCCCTTACCAGCAGAGTGGTAACACTCTGGTATAGAGCTCCAGAGCTATTACTGGGATCCACGGATTATGGAGTAGGAATTGATCTTTGGAGTGCTGGTTGCTTATTGGCTGAGATGTTCATCGGAAGGCCAATAATGCCTGGAAGAACAGAGGTAAATTAGTGAGACATTCTGAGACCATCATGAAGTGCATCGAATCATTCCTATTCGTAATTTATAGATTCCGTGACAATCAAGAAGCGCAAGCAAAATGCTAGAGGAACATATTGTATTCATTTCCATTTTCCTGAATGCAGCTTTTGCTCATTGTCTGATTTCTTCAGGTTGAGCAACTTCATAGGATTTTCAAGCTTTGTGGCTCACCACCAGAGGATTATTGGAAGATAATGAGGCTACCAACAAGCTTCAGACCACCGCAACATTACAAACCTAGTTTCCAAGAAGCCTTTAAGGATTTTCCTGGGTCTTCATATGGTCTCTTGACCACACTTCTAGCTCTGAACCCAGCATATCGAGGCACTGCTGCTTCGGCTCTCCAAAGTCAAGTACGTGAGCACTAACAGCAATGCCTTCCTTAATTTGTGATTGTTATGTAACTTGTGTTATTTCCATTCTGTTCTGTGCAAATTATTTGAACTCATTTCAATTTTTCCCCAGCAGTTCTTCTCTTCAAGTCCATTGGCTTGCGAACTTTCAGGTCTACCAGTAATTTACAAAGAGGAGGATGACCCAACCGAAATCTATGGTCGGAGAAAGTAAGTAACTAACGTAACTGGAATGCTGCTTAACTTACATATTTATTTCTGTACCCAACAAATTGATGGATGTCTACTTGCTTCTACTTCCATCTTACAGGCGCAGAAATTCGAAAAAGCAGTTATCTAGAGCAAGTCGAGAACGTCATGGGAGAAAGAATTCAATTTCTCAACATGCCAAAGAAGAAACAGAAGCTTCTAAAGAGGTAACATTTTTAATTTAAGGCCAATACATGCCCATCACTAAACACACACACACACACATATACATGCCAAAGAGTTTAATCCAATCAGAAAAAAAAACTGTGATAATCTTGTAAATAATCTGAGTTGAATGCATTTGTTTTAGGTGGAGAAAATTTCAGAGCCAAGCATGAACAACGGCCTTGAGACAGGAAACAGTGCAAGCAGCAGCACATGCTCAGATGTAAAACCAATAACGAGGCAAGAACAACACCTCCGCCGCCCATCCTTTTCGCCGATTCTTGATCATTCTAATCAGAATCAGAACAGATCAATAAGAACTGAGGCTCATCCTAATGCTACCAAGAATATCCAGAACTTCACCCTTTTACAGGCTTCTATAACAGACATCATTAACCATAACGGAGGCAATGCAATGCCAGCTGGTTATCGCCGATCGGTTTCTACGTTGGATTTTCGTTCTCTCGATCCAGAAAAGATATCAAAACTCTTTGGACTTGATAAAGACTAATTTCGTCGGTTATGATTTGTGAGTTATGTAACCTTCATCTTCCCTTGGAGCTGTTGCTGTGAAGAAATGTATGATGCATTCATATATATTTTATTTTTTTAGCAATCTTGTTTTATTTGCACTAAACAATAAATGAGATTGATGTTTTTAGTGATGCATGTTAAACTGCATTTGAAACTATTTGATTATAGTGCAGACATAGTTATACTACTACTGCCTTTTTAAGTGTTTCAAATTGATCCACGGAAATGTCCATAAAGAGTAATCATCTTCCATTAATAAAAAAAAAGAAGAAGAAGAATAGGGTCCCTGCATATAATTCTAGAGGTGAGAATATCGTTTAAGTAAACATGTTTATGCCAAGTTTTGAAAATAATTGTATCATCATGGAGTAGGCTGAAGCCACTACAAGGATGATTGATGAAGGGGCATTACAGAAATTGCTGAATTTTGTGAAGGAGAGAAAACGAGAGAAGAGTTTGGATGATTTCCTTCTTGATTGATTCTGATTACATGATAGAAAAATACAAGTTGTTCTCTTCTTTTATATCAGCTACTATTAAGTTAGCTATCTAACAAACTAAATAAGATAACTAACTAATCTAGCTCATTTAAGACTAATCTCACAACTAACTCATAACTAATTGATGACTCATCTTGCCACGTAATACACTCTACAACTACTCGTGTATTCTATTACTCCCTCTTAAGATAATTATGAATATTATTCAGACTCATCTTGTCAAGATAACCAAGGAAGATTCTATGTTGTAAAGCCTTTGTAAAAACATCACCAAGCTATGGATCAATAGGAATACAATGAGGCTCAATGAGACTAGCCATGACCTTTTCTTTGATGAAATGACGGTCCACCTCAATATGTTTAGTACTTTCATAATATTTTAGATTATTGTACATATGCAAGGTGAACTGGTTATCAAAAAACAATTGCACTAGTCCGGAATGCTTGATTCCCAAATCCTACAATAAGAATAAGAGCCACATAATTTCACACGTGATGATTGCCATAGCACTATACTCTGCCACTCAACTTTGCTTCTTAGAACTCCAATTGATCAAGAAATTCCCAAGAAATATGTAGAAACTAGAAACTGATTTTTTAGTTTCAAGACATCCGGCCTAGTCATTGTCTAAAAAGACTCGATGTCGATGCGAGTTGGAAACAACAATCCTTGTTCATGTGCATTCTTCGGATAACGAAATACATTATGAGTAGTTTTCGGATGCATTAATGTTGTTTGTCCATAAATTGAGCAAGAACTTGCAATGCATAAGAAATACCAAGCTTGCTAAAAGTCAAATATAGAAGTTTCCCCACCAATTATCTATATTTAGTAGAATCAATTAAAAGATTCTCTAAAATATTTAACAATTTCTCCTTAGGATTCATGGGAGTAAAGGTAAGTTTGCAATCGGAAAAACCATATTCATGCAACAAATCCAAAACATACTTCCTTTAGTAGATTGCAATTCCTTGTTGTTATCTAGCCACTTCAATCCATAGGAAGTATTTGAGCTAACCAAGATCTTTGAGTTTAAATTTCATGCTAAGGAAGCTCTTAAGATTAGCTATGTTAGTTATGGAACTACCAACAATCATAATGTCATTTACATAAACTAGTAAGGCAAGAGAATTATATGAAGAAGTATGCATTAATAATAAAGAATAATTTACCTTGGATTGTAGAAAACCATACTTAATCAAATCTATATTGAATTTTGCATTCCATTGTCTAAAAACTTGTTTTAGAATGTAGAGAGACTTATGCAATCTACAAACCAGTCTATGTGAAGTATCATTGTTCAAATACTTTCCTTAAGGCTGATATCCCATGGAGGATCCATATAAACTATTTCCTAAAAATTACCATGAAGAAAAGCATTGTTAATGTCCAATCGAAATAGTGACCATCTTTGAATGATATCTAAGGGTAAAAACAACTCCGATTGTAGGATGCTTTGCAACGAGATCTGAAAGTTTCATGATAGCTAAAACCATTAATCTAATCGTACCCTTTAGCCACAAGTCATGTCTTGTATCTTTCTATACTACTATCAACCTTAAGTTTAACTTTATAAACCCACTTACAACCCATTGTATGATGACCTATAGGAAAAGGAACCATAGATCAAGTATTGTTTTCTTCAAGAGCTAATAACTCATAATTCATAGCTTTTTTTTCCAATGTGCAAAATTTACAGCTTGAGAATAGGTTTTAGGTTCAATTGTATATGCTAAAGAAATGGTAAAAAATGCATAGGAAGAAGATAATGCATCCTATGGAGGTGTGAAATAAACAAAAGAATTTCCTCCATCTAAGGGCTCAAGATCAAGCCGTTGAATCTATTAACCATACATGCAAGAATTTAAACCAATAAATAAAGGATTACCTCTTGTAGCATAGATCCAAGTTCTTTTATCGGAAAAGTCATCCAATTTTTCGGACTCTATTGATGATCCACGCAGTCTAAGTATCCACAAAGAAACCCTCAAAATTGATAGGGTTATAGCTCTACACTTTTTTGATTTGTGTAGTGTTTTCTATAAAAATCAATCCTGGACAATTGTGCTACAACCTTAAAAGAGAAAGAAAAAGTATATTTGTGCAAGTGTTTTTAGAGAAAACTATTTTCCTTTTTTTTTTTCACTTTGCCATGTGCCCTAGTTAGTTTTTAGGGTCGGCCGAATTTTTACATTTTTTTCTCTCTTTTTGCTTAGTTGTCGCACCTCTTTCTCTCTCTTATATTTATAGGAGAGTTTCCTTATCCTTTAAGGATAAGGAGAGGGGCAACATTAAGTCCCCTTTAGGACTCTAGGTTTTTGCTTCCTTATCTTCTAAGGATGAGGAGTTATTTCTACATATGGACTTTTGATCATTATCTTCAAAACATTCATCCTTATTTAATAAGGTTGATATTTATCCTTCTATCAAAATATCTTAAGACTTTTAATTAAACTTAATGGGACAAAACCATTTTAGCCTAATTAATTTATTTAGACTATCCAAATAAATAATCTTATATTATTTTAGGCGAGTCCACATTAGGAAACAATTTTCCTAAATACTATTTAACCTAAATTAGGAAACTCATTTCCATTTTAGGTTTTTTATTTCAAATTTGGAACTATTTTCATTTTAGGTTTTTCACTTTCAAATTTGGAACTAACTTACAAATTAGGAAACTGATTTCTAAAATAGAAAACTTTTCATTTAAGAAACTTCCTAATCAAGAAAACTTTCCATTTTGGAAACCTTTTCAAAACGAGAAAAATTTCATAATTGAAATTTTTTTTCAATATTTTTGCTTCTCATTTATAATATGAATACTTAAACTTATGGCGTGTGACTCAATAGGCTCCTAGATATGTTGGCAATGTATCAAGAATAAAAGACTCCTCTCTTATTTCTTGATACATAAATCAAGATTGGCATCTAACAAGACATCATGACTACCTAATTTTCTAGGAGGATTAATTAATCCATTATTATCTTTCACGAGTATGGTTACCATACAATTCAGTCCTCATGTCAATTTATCATAGTGTGATCTCGAACTTGGTTATAAGTCTTACTCGATTATGATCACATAAGTTTTTTTTTTAATTCTTAAATGTTTTAGCTCTTAGAGTAAACCAATTATACTCTATTGGTGTACTCCTACTACGGTCATAGATTTTTTTAGCGGACATTTATTGAAGTATAATGTGATAATTCCTTTAGCATATAAGGAGCGACATGTCTTATCTTAGTCATACACCTACCTCCATCGATTCCTAGTGCACCCAAAGAATCGCCTACGCGTAACCTTTTAATAGGTCCATCGAAACGAGTGTCAAAATGCATAAGTCCTCTAATAAGACAACCATGATGACTTCAAGTCTAAGGACCATTTATACCCATCTCGTATGTGATTCCCATAGACTAAAACCAAATGGGTTTTCATGACGAGTCAAATCTAATGATATGTTCTTTAACATAAATCACCTAAGTGGTTGCTTTGCCATTACAATGCCAATAGATGTGAGATCTCCTAATGTTATCATATAGCATGAGTATAACACTCGTAAGTTTATTCGCATATAATCAATGTCCATTCTTGACAATGTTATAACTTAAGATGTTTAATGATATCATTTATATGCATTAGTGTTTGTCTCACATCTTTCGATCAATCACTATTGAAAACGCATATCATAGAGACTTATATCTAATTCTACTAAATTTACATACATAAAACATAAGAATTAATAGAATGATTTCTTTATTATTATTAAAATAAATAATGCAATGATACATGGGCACTTACACTAACGGGAGATAGCTAAGAAGTGAAAACATATTGATGAATAGGGTAAGAAGTAGAGTACATAAGATTATTATAAGAAGTAGAAGACTTATTATGCGAAGGATGGTTATAAGCTTATAAATATGTAAGGATTTTAATGGATCTTGAGGATTTTTTTAAAGGAATTGGAGAGGAAACATTTTCATGAACAGAAGACTCTATAAGAGTGGATGGATTAGAAGGTGTAGAAATAGGTAAAGAAGCTTCAAGAGTAACAACGAATGAGATTCATTAGAAAAAATCGGAGACTCAAGAATAACATTGGAAGAAATATCTTTATCGACACGAAAAGATTTAAAATTAATAGGGAAAACAGAATGAGTAGGTTAAATACTAGCAAAATCAAATAAATTAGATGTAGAAGGAGGAGAAGATACGAAAACAAATGATTGGGAAAAGATATAGAGGAGGAATTAGAGGGAGAAAAAGGAAATATGGACTTATGAAATATGACTTCCCTTAAAACAAACACCTTATGAGAAACAAGATCATAAACTTTATATTCTTTAATTCCGGGATGATAACCAATAAATATACAAGAAGAAGCTCTTGGATGAAACTTCTTTCGATTATGAACAATAGTAGAAACAAAGTATAAGGACTTAAATACCTTTAGATGATTATAGGTTGGTTTATGTTTGAATAAAAGGTTCATAAGGAGTGAAATTATTCAACGAGAGGAGAAGGAATTTTGTTGATTAAATTTGCGGTAGCAAAATAACATATGCCCAAAATTTTCAAGGTAAAGATGCTTGGAAATGGGGAGACTTGGCTATGTTTAGCAAGTGTTGATGTTTTCTCTCAACAACTACATTTTGTTGAGGAATACCTACACAAGATTTTTTTTATGAATGATACCTTTAGAAGCATATTAAAAGGGAAGATGAAACTTAGGACCATTATCAAACCTTATTTTCTTGATAGAAGAGTTAAATTGAGTGAAGATCATTTGGTAAAATGAAGGAATTATAGACATGACATTTGACTTATGTTTGAGTAGGAAAACCCATATGACTCTAGTAAAATCATCGACTACGGTAAAGAAATAATGGAAATCAACAAGAGAAGAAACAAAATATGGTTCCTAAATATCTATATAAACCAATTCAAAAGACAAAACTAAATTTTTATTATGAATAGGAAAAAACAATCTTCTTTGTTTTGCTAATAGATAAACAAAACAAAGAAGATCGTTATTACAATGAACAATATGATGATATTAATGAATCAGTTTGATTCTTTTGAAGGAAATATGACTCGATTCGCAATGCCATAGATCGAAATAGAATAATGTATTACTTTATTTTCAAATGTTTGAACATTACAAGACTCGTTTGAAAGAAAGAGGATGACAAACTTAGATCGACTAAAACGAAACAATTTTAATTGAAGGTTAGAAGTTCTAATCATTGTCCATAAAAAGTCATCCTGAATCAAACATGAATAAACAAAAAAGATTAGTTTATAATGAGAATTAATTATGAGTTTACTAATAGAAATCGAGGTTGACTTTGAAGGAAGGCACACAAAAGACATCACTCAATACGAAAGATGATGACTTACATACATAACCAATGTGAGTCACAATAGCCTTAGTGCCATTTGGCATTTGAATTGTCATAACACACATAGGTCTATAAGTTGTAAAGTAGTCAAAAGAACACAAAATGCAATTTCTTGCTCATGTGTCTATTATCCATGTACGGGAATTTAGTGAGGATAGAACACTCTAAGAATGATAGCATGTGGACAAGACAAAATTATTACTCGTAAGACTAGACATGGGTTGAGAAGTACTATCACAATAGTGATGAACATGATTTGAAAGTTGTGAGAGAGAAGGTGGTGAATTTTGAAAATTTAAAAAAGCCATAAGCTTGGAAACTTGCTTCGAGTAAACAAAATACTTGAAAGAGTATGTGCATATTGAATAGAATTTTGTACGAGTACAAAACTATTCTCTTCTTGATCCGAAGTGATATTATTGATATAACAAAGAGAACTTCCATGAGCAGAACTAGAAGAACTAGAAAAACTTGCATTACCATTGAAAAACTTGTTCTTAGTGAATTTGAAGTCCGAAGGAAGTCTAATAAGCCTATAACATCTATCCCTAATATTTTCGGACTTCTCACAATAAAAACAAATAACATCAAATTTCCTCTTAAAAACAACCATTGTCGAACAATCATTTAAAAGTTGATTTATAAACCGAATTGACCTTAGTGAATCTTCTCTCATAACTAAATTATAAACTTCATCCAAACTAGGAAATGACTTCATAACTGGTACTTGAGACTTTAGTGAAAAAAAAAACGACTCATTCAATGCATTGAGAAATTTAAACACACTTGTCTTTCTCATGCATCTTCATAAATTTTTGAAAGCAATCATTATTACATCTTTCACAACTACAATGAGATAGAGGCTTAAAATTCTTGAGTTCCTCTCATACTCCATTGAGTTTAGTAAAGTAAACATTAACGGATCTTATACGTTGAGCAATAGAGCATAGAGACCAATACAAACTACAAATCCTTGACTCATTTGATTGGGAAAACCTTTCCTTCAATATTATCCAAATTTTCATAGCCGAGTTTGTATAGAACACTATTGTAGCAATAGGTAGTGACATTAACCTCAATAACCAAGCAACAATCAAACTATTGTAGTGATTCCAAGAACTGGAAAAAGGTCAACCTCTTGAGGTTGAGAGATGGAGTCATCAACAAAATCTAATTTGTTTCTAATTAAGAGAGCAAGAACAAAAATCTGCTCCAAGTAGCATAATTCTCTATAGTTAGTTTAGGAGTAACTACAAGAGATCCATGATGATTTGAGTAATGAATGACGTAAGAAGAGTGGGGATCATTAGAAGATAAAATTTCCTTTGTCATAAATGATTGTTCAAGTAGAAGAATTTGAAGAGTGAAGCTTTTGAGTGAAGAACAAATTGAAGAACGAAAATGAAAACTTAACATATCTGTCGCTCTAATACCTTGCTGAATTTTGTGATGGAGAGAAAACGAGAGGAGAGTTTGGATAAGATTTCCTTTTTAGTTGATTCCGATTACATGAAAGAAAAATACAAGTTGTTATCTTCTTTTTTATCGACTACTCGTTAAGTTTCTAATTCATTTAAAACCAACCTTACAACTAACTCATAACTAATTGATAACTCATCTTGCCATGTAATACACTCTACAACTACTTTATATTCTAAAAGAAATAATATGTTTTTCTTAAGACAAGTTTAATATGGACAAAGAGAAATTATTATAGTAAATTGGTAAGAACACATAAATATAGTTAGTCATAATTAGTAGCTCAACTATTTTTTGCAAGCCGATGTGACGTCCCATGACATCATTGTAATTAGCTCTCGTATAAATGACTATTCATCAAACTTCGATCATATATACCTTTCAATTTATTATATTATTGGTGTTTTTTTTTAATAAAAATGCATCTTTTATATTGATTTAATGTATTAAAAAAATTTTAATTTTTTTAAGACGTTATTTTCAAGATTTAAAATCGAAATCGAATTTAAAAAAGAGCAAATCTTAATATTAGATTTCTAGTATTCACAAGTAGTGGGATTTATGAAATGAGATTACCGGATAATTTTTTTCTCTTTAAATTTGCATTTACTTCTTTTCGTTAGTAGTCTAATCCATGGAACTACGAAAGCCATGTGATGATTGCTACCGAGTTAGGTCATCCTTATCTATAGCTTGAAATGATCTTAAGTTTTTTTTTTTTTTTTTTCAAATGATGGTTTGGACTAAACACAAACTTAGCTAGTTCGAATTTTAAGAAACTCTAGTCGGATTCTTCGGTTAAAATCAAACTAAAAGGGACTATCTCTCGTTATTTAGTTAAAACACTCGTACCCCGTAACAAAAATAAAAAAATAAATAATAATAATAATAATAAATTTGGACTACTAGGGTGTCTCACTAGTCACTACACTTCTTGGGGGGTTAAAACTAATTGGGTTAAATAAATCAACACCAGAATAATAGTCTCCAGCCAAAACCTGAAACATGGCTTCTTTTTTTGGTTAACATGTTTCTTGGATGGATTTGGATGAATATGAAAGGAGAAAGCGCATGGTGAAGGACATTAGATAATTTATTTTCCTTTTTTGTACATATTTCTCCTCCTTGATTACATGCAGTTCGAGAAAATAGAAACAAGAATAAGAGGAGCTTAAACATTAATTACAGGCATAAGTATAAAAGGTAGCAAGGCAGAATATAGATACAGTTCAGGCATCAAAATAGTCATCTACGAACTTGCTCTTGATCCACTTGAAGCTGTTTCTCAACGACGATTTGATCTTACCTTCCATGGTGTACATATTATACTGGGCCACTCTCTTCCTCCTCTTCATCTCCGGGTTGCCTGAACTTTCTAGTTCTTCCACTCTGCCTGTGGGACCATTAAAGCTGTAAGATTTAGACCGGTCCTCGAACCCTAGCCGGATTTCTGAGTAGGCATTTGAGCAACCAGAAAATGATTTGCTCTTCTCCATTAGATCAAAACGAGCACCAAGAGCAGGCCATGGCTTAACTTCTACTATATATAACATCAAGAGAAACTATACCAGACCTATTGGGTTACTTGAGAAATGGTAGTGGAGTCTGCATGGGCAATGACGTGTGCTTGAATTTGATGATTAAGGAATTTGATTAATAGAAAATCGAGATCGTTTGGTACATTAGTAAACCGTTTTTTGATTAGATAGGAAAATATGTTATTGTGGATTTGGTGCTAGACAATAGTCTATGGAGTGGAGGGTCCCATGCAAATGCAATATGTGAAGCGACAAAAAAACATAAGAGAGAAGAATGGTCGCTCTATGTAATATCATATTGCCATGCTCTATGCATTTAGCTCTCACACAAGGCAATTGATTTTTTTTTTTTTTTTACATTCGGGAGTATCTCCAGATAGGTTTCGTGTATTGGATTAAATCCCCCACTCGTGCACTGAAATTAAATCCCCTCTTTAGTATTCCGATCAAAATCAGGTTATTCACCATAAAATTAGGAAAATCATGAAGATTTGACCTTCTTCAGCCTACACTATGTATCGATCCCTCCGTCCATTACTTGTTTTTTCCCCTTTAAATAAAGGATTAGACTGAGTGGGATCAACCATCTCTCTCGAGTTGATACTGTTTTTATCTAGAACTGCAACTTCTCATCGAAAAGAGCTGAATGCCATCCATTTGGGGGCACCTTAAAGGAGGATTTGGTATTAGACTATTGGTTTCACATAATCATTGCAGCATCACATTACAATAGCACTAAATCCAGTGGTGGCTTAACCTATTCAAAATAAAGATTTCAAATTAATAGTGTTCTAGATGGGTTTAACATGGTGGCGGCACCCACCACTATTAGATAAAAGCTGGAGGGACCTACTGCAGGAAAAAGAAAAACATACACACACAGAGGGAGTAGTGAAAGAACCAGCAAATTTTAGAACACAAACACAGTTAAGTCTAAACTGCAGCAGTACCTCTGCTCACACATAACGCCGCATTTTTCTATGATCTGATAATTCTTCGAAATGTTCATAGTGTTTCAGCTCCTAAATTTTCATTCTTCATTTGCATCAACAAGAATTGGATTTTTTTTTTTAATAAAAGTAAATACCTATACACCAGAAATAGCATCTACACGGTTTGGAATGCATTTTTTTTAACCTTAAATTAATTAATGGAATCTATATCCCAAACAGGCTTACATCTAATCAAGCAATCAATTATAAGTTAAACTCAATCACCCCACCCCAACCAGCACACACACACTGACAAAAATAAAATAAAATAAAAAATAAATAAAAAAACGCAAATCACTGAAAACTTCAGCAGCCTTCTACCAGTAGGCTCAAGGACAGGATGGTGATGAGACATCACAATCCAGCATGATTATTGCGGCCCAGTAACTTGTTGAAACTTAGGAAGAAGTGCAGACCTGTTTAAGATACAGATGATCTTAGCACTAGTGATTGGTTTCTGTATGCCCACCTACCAATATAAGCACGCACAAAGAGTGGTTATCCTGTGTGCAAACCTACAGCAAAGATCTGTGAAGTGGCCTCATCCTTCGGATGCATTAAAAGATGTCTCAGAACTTGCTGACAAAGAACAAGACTGAAATATCTCAACTCTACCCACCTTCACTGGTGATGGATTTCATTCGCTCCAGTTTGTCAAGACCGACTGATCATGACACATGAAAAATGCCACTTGAGGGAGTGTATTCCAACTAGAACTTCCACAACATGGTCGTGTTCCTATGTGTAGGTAACAAATCAACTGTCCTCCTTAAGAAAGTGACTGAAAAAATTATAGATGATACATACAAACCTCTGCTCTTGATTCCCGAGAATTACAGTAGGGAGTTATTTAAGATGATTGGTGTCTGAAAAAGTCGGCACCATCTTCAACGCTATCAGTCTTAATGTTTCCACTTTGGGCCATAAGTATTCTGTAGACTCGCTTTGAACAAATCTGACCAACTCTTCTTTCACCACCAAGGAAACCCTCAGTTGTCAGATTCTCAAGCAGAAATTCCTTTTCGTGCACCTACATTTTCATACAACAGAAAAATGCATGGTTATTCTAATGCAGCTGCCTCTGACAGCACAATATAGAGAAATTGCACAATTTAAGGGCCATCTTCTAGACACTGGCGCACTGCAAGGATACCGATAAGAGTTTGGGAAGTATTCTGTGTTCCAGCAGTGTCACGAGCAGCATTTGGCATTGTAAAGGGCTATTGTTTCTTGTTACTTTTAGAAAATTATAACGAAAATGGATGAAAAAAATAAAACCTCCACGAATATTGAAATAAGCATCTCCTTTGTTTAAAAAATTCAACATCATAAAACAATAAGAGTTATGGAAGATTTACATTTGCCTGGAACAGAGTGCATGACAGTACTTACCATCAAACTTCACTAAACAGCCATTGTAACTTCATTTGCATAACAGCATCAAAATAAACGTCTAAATAAATTAACCATAGTTGCTTTTATTTATTGACACCATAAATTTTGGATCATCCTTAAAAGATTTTCTAGTACTCGTCAATTCATATAATTTTTTCCTTAAAAAGATAGGAATGATACAGTTCGTTATAATGTTCCAGGACAAGGGGACATAAAATCATAAAACAATTGTTTCATCTTTGGAAAATTGTGTTTTTCTTATTTCATGTTACTTTTTACTATTGACTCATCAGAAGGTTCATTAGACCTTTAAGCTATATAAAGGGTCACCCTCTCCCATCGCATGAAACCTGCATACCCATTCTGAACCTCAGAAACTTCCAAGCTAGAATTGTCAAGATCACCCCACTAGGGATAATCCCCTTCAGGCAAATGCTATGAGTAATTGAAAAGTCATCCAGTGAACATTTAGGTCCAGTCCTTAAATTTTCTTTAGCAAACAGAAAGGTGATTATTAAACTCCACAAGTGCTACTTAAACAGTAGATTTATAGCAATGGACCTTGTAAACCTAAACACATGCACTAATACAGGAATGTACATATATAGGCATAAAGATTAAACACACCCCCCCCCCCCCCCCCCTCCCTCCCTACTTGCTTTTGAGTCTTCTCCCCCTCCCTCCTAGTGAAATCAATAGGGCAATAAAGAACATCTTCAGACATCCCATTGAAATTAAAGAGCCCTGTTTCTTTTCACATAGGATATATTATCACAATAGACAGCAGGATGGTGGAAATGTCAACTACATAGCATGAAATCCAAGCCCAAAATTAATCCAAAATAGACCATTTCAATTCATAGGGGTGGTAATAGAAAACCCAAAATGAAATGTGTAATATATAGGCCATTAATGATTGACATAAAGGGCAAAGCTTACATGTCAAAATTAATGCCACAATTTTGGAGGCCTGTTCTTTGTACTTACTGATTTGTTAGGATCCATGTACACATTCAAAAGTGACTTCATGGTAGGGTACTTCTTCCATATGGCAGTAGCAAACCGTGGCTGCACCTTTGGGATAGCTACCAAAGCTTTTAGCCTAAATGCAGATAGCAGAATCACAACGATGGCAATTGTCACATAGAAAATACATAGAGGCAAGTATAAAAAGGAAGGCCAACATGACAATATACTGCTTAGGCAGATTTCGAAACTAAAATCAATACAATATTCAGTTTCATATCTATAAACGAATACACTGAAACTTGACATCTTTCAGGAAGACCATCTGGCCAGTTTGACAGAATTGTAGTTCATTCAATTCAATTTTAGAATCTACTAATTAATTGTTAACAAAACAAGATCAAAGTGAAAAAGAGGTCCCAACAAAAATATTTCAGATTGTTTCAATTCTGCTTGCTCTCTGCTCATTCCACTTCTGCATCTTCCATTTTTATGTATGATCTATCAGTATTTTTTCAGCATACAAGTTTGGTGGAAGAGAAAGAAAAAAAGGAAAGGAGGAGCATCATGATGCTATAATTTTGTCATGCATCAATTCTAGTACCTATATTGGCCAAACAATTTGAATTTAGATTAAATATGTAAATCACTTTTTCAAGATAATAAAAGAACTGCAAATAGGAAGGTTGAAGAATATCAGCAAATGCATATGTAAATAAATAACACAACTTTTGTTACTGCAATTGTTCGAAAATGCAAATGGGATGGCGAGTAGACTTGCCAAAAATGCACAACAACAGAATCAGTTGACAACAAAAGAAACGGAACTTAACAGTTAACATAAGCACTATTTGATAAATTTTAAGAGTTCGAATATATTACACATACTAGTAGGCTTGTCACTGATATAATTTGGAAAAAATATTACTCACCATGGACTCTTTTTTATTAAATTTCTGTCGACGAAATCTTTAGGAATAAAAGACCCATTAGCATTTACAGAAAGTCGTGTTAACTTCTTTCTGCGATTAAAAGTAAAACAGAAGCAAGAGTAAGAGAATTGGACAGCCAAACTATAAAAAAGAATGCAGGAGACAGGAGTCATGATTCAAAAAAAAAAAAAATGAGCTGATTATATGACAACAAAAATATAATATTCAGCACCTAAATTGACAAGACGCCAAGCTGCGTGTCAAACTAATGACATGATCAGCAAGTTCAGCTTCATCTGTGCACAGCCTATAATGTACCTTGAAAAAATGTGTGGTTAATTTTGCCAGCACCTGCAGACGAGTTTGCAATATATTACAGTTCATAATGCCTTCCAAACGTCTATTATGACCACACAGGAAGTTATTAGACTTATATGCACTCTAATTTTTGTTTTGACCTCTTCAACAGATGGACATCTCCATCCAACATCATTTTCCTGCTGCTTGTACTGCTCTTTTCCCCTAAGACATTGTCAACATCCAAGTTAGAATGCAATACAATGCTACAACATTATCAAATAATAACCAACGTGAACAATAGCAGAAAACCATAAAATAGACAGTACAATATTTCCATTTTGACACAAAACAAAATGAAATGATTCATGTCTCTCTAGCCAACTATGATAAATATGACTATCCCTCCACATGCAAATTACAGAGACAACACAAGCATAGAAGCAGATACAAAGCATAAAATTTTATAGAAAGTAGACAAGTATCAAACATGAAAAGAACAAAGAAAGTTCAAATTTTACATAAGCCTTGTCAATTGCTTACCTTTTATTGACATAAGCCATCAACTTAATTGTGAGATAGCAAATTGTATGAGATGGATAACGGCTACGAACCAAAGACACATGATCCAGGAGTGATTCACTCATGACAAGATTGCAGAACTCTTCAGCCTCATATACAAGGGCCACATATCGAATCTCGGTTCCTTCAGGAGAAAGCTGCATCAAATTAGTAAAGATTATTCAGGAAAAATTTAATGATAAGAGAAATGAAGCCTAACAAACACATAGTGAATGCATAAAAACATGACAATTTGGAAAGGAACTGACAAGGTATCGCATTTACACAAATTTGTGAATTGGCCTGTACTCTCAAGTATACTAAACACTAATTACCTGAGAAACATGTTCTGGAGCACTCATGGTCCACAGAATAGATCTTTCAATTGGATTTGATGTTACGCGATACGTAAGGCCCTTATCAGCAAACTTGGTAAGCAGAAGTCCTATACTAATATAGTAGAGAATTCAGAAAACTATATATTAGCATAATGAATCTACTAAAAATACAAAAGAAGAAAAAAAAAATTACCTCCCACAGAACCATGTTCAATTACTCTAGTGTCAAATTCAGCAACAATAGAATTTAGGGCTAACTTCCCTTTTTCCCACTTTTGCATTTCTTTCTCCATTTTTTTCAACTCTGCCGCTTGAGCCTTCAGAGCTGCTTTCTGCAACTTCTCTTGCTACACAGAAAATTTTAATTAGACAACTTTTTTGTATAAACTGATATACTATACAGGTTCGGTAACATCAATAAAATACTTGCTTCTTTCTTTAGCTTCTTTTCTTCCATTAAGCGAATTCTTTCCTCTGTTTTTGTATTCTTCTTTCCCACTGCTTCATCTATATGATTTTCCTTGTCAGAGTTAACTTTAGTTTTCCTTTTCTGTTTCGTTGTGTTAGCCATCTGCTCCATGCTCCAATTTTCTTCATTGGGACAATCATCTATCTGATTCAATGTCAAAAGTTAAGAAAATGTAAATCAGAAAATTGAGACGCACATTCAGCTTACTTTAAACACTAAGTTGATTAGAATAATATATCCTAACGTGGCAAAGTTGATATATTCACATCAGAAAAATTGCTACTTGCTTTTTAACACGAACAGAGGTTTGTCCACCCATTATGGTTTTGGTTATTTTGAACTCAATAAACTTCTGACGAAAAGCTTTGAAGAATCCATTTTAATTATCTTGACAAATCAAAACAAAATTAATAAGTAACATAGCTTCAAATTACACATAGTTTAAAGAAAACGGGAAACGAAGTTAAGAGTTCAAAACATAAATACAAAATGATCTAATCATCATGATTATCTAGTAAGACATTAATCTCATATAAATCATAAGAAAACACTCAGACTTACTCTTCAAGTTCAACCTTAAAAATAAACTAGAAACAGAAACACAAATGCTATTGTATAAATCACCTGATAGGCATTATCTTGCGGGAGACTTGGTTGTGAAGAAGTGCCCTTAGACATTTGATTTATATTAGCATCTGCTGATAAACAAAATATCTTCGGTTAGCATCCGTAAATTTGACCTATGCATCGAAGAAACTTTCTATTCCATTGTCGAAAAGGAAAAAAAAAAAAAATCAACATTGATGATTTACCAAGACAATCGACGGAGCCAAATTTGGTTGACGTACTCCATCCTCTCTCCTCCACGTCATCATTACTCGCATCCATAGTTGTCTTCTCCGTGCAATTTTTTGCACTTTCCGGCTCGTCATTTTCGGATTCTAAACATATCAATCCACCATTTCCTTTCACACAAAATAAAAACAATACAAAACCCAACCCTAATTAATTGCAAATACAAACGAAATATTTCAATTTATAAATTCAGAACCCTAACTAACCAGAGAGGAGGTTAGGATCAAAATTGGGAACCCTAATTTGGGGAAAAGTGCATTTGACAATGGAGACATCGCTCATGGGCGTCTCGGGAACGAAAGAGGGAGATGTGAGTGGGGTCGGGTCATCGTCTAGGACTACAATGGTCAGGTCGGTTTGGGTTCGGGGTTTTTAGGGACAGATGGGAGTGGTGTTTTTTGGTTTTCTTCTTCTTCTTCATCGGAGAGGATTATCGGATTCCACATTCACAAGGGGGAGAGAGAGAGACTGTCACTGGTTTGGTCTGCGTCTTCGAATCAGCGCGGGATACAAATGACAGTTTTGATTTTGTGATAGCATTTACTGTTTTTTTCTTGCGCTACCCTAGCCCTTACATAAAATATAGAAAATTATTTAAAATTTATTTTTATTATAAATAATGAATATCCATTTGAATATTTATATACTTTTTATATTTTTATTATCATAATTATTAATATGATTCAATTCATTATTTAATATGAGAAATAAAAAAAATTGATACAATTGATTCAATAATTTATATATTTTTAATTATTCATAATCCTTTTCAATTCTGTTTTCACTTTTAAAGCCTATAAATAGACATGATTGTTTATTAGTTTATGTATAAATATTTTGTAGAGATTGAAAAATTATTTGGAGTTGTTATCTATTGTATTCACTTTATCTTATGGTGAATTCATTTTCCTATCATCTTTCTCTTCAATTCTACTATTGTTAATATTTTTTTATAACATGTTATCGACACGAAGCTTCTAACCAATCGAGATAATAGATCGGAGGTATGTATCTATCAAAAGATTTAATCATTTATTTTAACTATTGGATTTTTTCTACACAAGTGCTTTACCAAAAGATCTAAATTATTTAGATCATTAAAATATATGTATCTAATTTATTCGTGTACTTTTAAATCTAATGATATATGGAACATACATTTGAAAAACTTAAATGATCTAATATATAGAATCTAATAATTTAACATATGTTGTTTGAAAAACTTTAATTTTATTATTATGTTTGTTCTTATTTTCTAATATTATTATTATTTATTGCATTATAAAATTTTTATCATATCAAACCTTATAAATTTGATTTTATGGCTTTTGATATTTTGAATAAGAATTATTGATTATAAGTGCTTGATTATGAAAAAAATATTTTCTACTTTTATGTCTTGAATATGCTCTTCCCGTAGCAATATCGAGAAAAAAACTTAAGAAATATTCGAATTGATTTTCATACTTGCTCATGGCTACAAGCTATTGATGAAAAAGAATAAATCTTATCCAATTGGATCTACCTCATTGCATGAAGTGAATGTGACAACTTATAATAATTTTGGACATGGACGAAGATGTGATCATAGCCATGGATGTGGTCAAAATAATTATCATTATAATCATGATAACCATAATAATATTTCTCACCACCAAAAGTGATAAAAAAAAAGCAAGAAAAGAATAAAAAATGAATCAAGTTAGTATTCGAAAATGAATGTTATAGATGTAGCATGAATGGATATTAGTCGCGTACTTGCTATACACTAAAGCATCTCATTGAGCCTTGTCAAGCTTTGTTGAAAAAGAAAGAGTAAAATTCAAAATTGTGGTAATTGAAATTAATAACTTCTTATTTTTTTATTTATAAATAAGATATTTTATATTTTTCTTATAATTTCTATTGCATAAAGATAGATATAAATTTATTTTACTATTTATTTATTTATTTATGTTTATGAAGAATATATTTATTTATTCATTTATTTAATTATTTATTTATTTTTATATTAATATTATATATGATAATATCAATCTAATAAAAAGCTTTAAAAGAGAGACTACATTATTACTTGAAGAGATAAATTTTGAAGACTCTAGAATAACGAATATATTATTACTTGAAGAGACTACTTTTAATACTCTAGAAGAGTGAATATATTATTACTTAATGTAACATAATTTAAAGGCTCCGGAAGGGTAAATATATTATTATCCGAAAGCACAAATTCTATTATAAATGATACATTATTTTCTCTAAACTCTCATAGAAATTTGTTGAGTTTCAAAGATGTTTGTCTAAATGGACATCATATCAAGACAACAAATATGAAAAATATTGGATACTTAAATATTATAATTACATCAAATACAAAATATGTATCGGAAAAATTATTCGCTTTCTCTTCTAGTCTTTATTACAAACATTGGAATAATTAAAACAAATACTATAGTAAACTAAAAGTTTAGTAATTCAAATAATTTTATAATGTGGCATGATCGGTTGTGTTATCTTAAGTATTTCATGATGCGAAAAGTTATTAAAAATTCATATGGACATTTATTGAAGAGCCAAAAGATTTTTCAATTCTATGAATTTTCATGTTTTGCATGTTTTTAAAGCAAATTGATTATTAAGTCGTCACCAAGTAAAATTCAAATTGAATTTTCAGTATTTTTAAAATATATTCAAAGTGATATATGTGGATCAATTCATCAACAATGTAGACCATTGAGATATTTTATGGTTTTAATAGATGCATCCATAAAATGATCACATGTATATTTATTATATACTCGAAACCTAACATTTTCAAGGTTGTTAGCTCAATTAATTCAATTACAAGTATAATTTTCAAATTATGTTGTTAAAACAATTCTCGTTGATAATACTGGTGAATTTATCTCAAAAGCATTAAATGATTATTGATTGGCTATCGGAATAAAGCTTGAACATCCTATCGCTCATGTTCATACTAAAAAAAGGTTTAACAAAATTATTTATCAAAAGGCTCCAATTCATAGCTAAACTATTATTTAAAAAGAAAATTTCTTATTTATGTTTGGGGACATGCAATCTTACATACAACAATACTTATTCGCATCGGACCCTTAAGTTATCGAAATTCTCCCCCTTCGGTTCGTTAATAGTCTTGAGCCAAATATTTCTTATTTAAAGTTTTTTGACATTGCGGCATATATCCGTAGTGTTTCTCCATAACAAATTAAAATAGGCACTTAAAGGAGATTAAGAATATATGTTGGATTTGAATGCTCTTCGATAATTCAATATCTTGAACCATAAACAAGAGATATTTTGACAAGCTCGATTTATCGATTAATATTTTGATGAAATAGTTTTTTCAACATTAAGGGGAGAGAATAAGCAAAATAAGTAGTTGGAAATGTTGAAAAAAATATTACATAGAGTACTCTATCTTACATTATCTTGATCCTCGAAACAAAATAATATGAAATAGAAGTTTAAAAGATAATTCATTTATATGGTATTGTAAAGCGACTATCGGATGTATTCTTAGATCTTAAATGAGTAACAAAAATGCATATCCTCGTTGAGAATGCTCCTATTGAAATTGATGTCCTAGAAGGACAATATATTAATATTATAGTATATGAATCTAAAGCATGTACGAAATGTGAAAGATCAATTAGTTCTAAAAGCAAAAATCCCTAAAAGAAAAGGGTAAGATGAAAATTTAAAGGATACAAATATTTATAAAATGATCTAAGATATTTTTGGTAATAGGCTTTTATAAGAAGTCCAAATGTTTGAGAAAAATCAAGAGACGTTGATAAGTTACATTAATACGGGGAGAAAATAGGATAAAAAAGAAACATTTATTGATAAGATTTTTGCATATAATATTGTAATTGATATTTTGAATAAAATAAGGATCCTAAGCCTAAATTTATTGAAGAATGTCGACATTGGGATGATTGGCCTAAATGAAAAATACAATCTAGACAGAATTATGTTTTCTTACAAATAAATAGTTTTTAAACTCAAAGTCAAAACATCTAAAGATGTTAAGCTAGTGATATACAAATGAGAATTTTTGTAAAAACAAGAGAAGAAAGATGAGATTATGAGATACAAAGCAAGACTTGTAAAACAAGAGTTTTTGCAAGGACCTAACATTGACTATAAGGAGACATATTCTTCGTAATGGAAACAATTATATTTCGTTATCTCATTAGCTTAAAAAATATATGAAAAAATTCATATGTATGCATTTAATGAATGTGATCACAACTTATTTATTCGAGTTGAAAATAATATCTATATGAAAGTCCTACAAAGACTTAAGATGCACGAAGCATGTAATAGATATTCTCGAGAAATGAAATTATAAAGATCTTTATCAAAATTATTTTAATAGTTTTTTAATTTTTTTAATTTTTAGTAATTCAATTTATGCTATATTTTTTATATTTATTTTTTTCAATATCTAATATTTATTACTAACTCTGTGTGCATGTGGTATAATTGCTTCGATAAGTATTTATTGAAAGAAGTTGTAAAAATAACTATATTTTTTCATATATTTTTATAAATAAATTTTAAAAAGGGCTTGTGATAATTATTGTATATATTAAAGATTTAAATATTATTGAAACTCTTAAAGAGATTCAAACTGCCATAAGTTATCTAAAAGGATAATTTGATGCGAATAACTTGGGAAAATAAAATTTTATCTCAACCTACGACTCAAGCACTTAGATAATTATATTTTTATTCATTAGTTAATTTATATAGAAAAATTTGTACAATTATTCTATTTAAAGAACATCTATTTACTAGCCCAAAAGTAGTTTGTTCACTTTATATCTAAAAAAAGTCCATTTTCGACCTCGAGAAGATAAGCATAACTATTTGGTTACGAAGTAACATATCTTAGTGCTACTTTTGTATTGATATATCTTGCTAATAATACTTGACATGATATATTCTTTTCTATAAATTTATCAACAAGTCATAATTCTACTCCAATATGGAGACATTGGAATGAAATTAAACATTTCCTACATTATCTTCGAGAAAAAATTGATATGATATTTATTTTACTCAAATAAATCGAAGTCAAGTTTAATTGATTATGTAGATATAGGCTATTTATTTTATCTATACAAAACTCGATCACAAACGGGTTATGTATTTAACATTTAGTGGTACAACTATATCATGGCATTCTCGGATCAAGAGACATGTAGTTTATCTATCAACAAAATAAGTTGCGGGAATATCATATGAAGATAATG